TCCAGGTGCGGTACCCACGCTACTGGGTGGTTGAGCGGCGACCATCCTTCAGTGGAAGAGGGTAAAGTCACCAGGAAGGTCTGTTTCTCGTGGAGTAATTGCTGTACCTGGTCGATCGATATCCAGGTGATGAATTGTGGCGATTTCTACATTTACTACATCGATGGAACGCCCCGGGAGCACCAGTGCCATTTGCGCTACTGCGGTACCGACTAAGAAAGTAAGAGAGTTCCGTCGTGACGCCAGAGTCTGTGGCTTCAAGCAAAAGGGAATAAAGGGGTGATCGGGAATCTATTAAACTGCTCATAACCAGCTTAAAAAGGAGTTATTAGTTGAGGCCTAATAAATGTACTTCAAGAAACTATTGTGCTTTTCTTTCCATCGTTTATACGGGATGAACTACCCACTGTCTCATGAAGAATGCAACTAATCCAAATTTGAGAGAATTTTCTAAACATTAAGAACTGAATCAAAATAACCATGCACTGCTGAAGTCAGAAAATCAAATCAAGAAACAGTCCAGAGACTCTTTACAGAAGCCCGTCTTTTCATTATGGGTCATTAGGCCAACTCTCTTAATGGAAAATGAATAAAATTGGCTGTAAATATATGAAAATCATACATATGAACTGCGGCTTAAGAAATTAGTTTGAAAGCGTACGGGTTTTGAACCCGTGACGTATGCAATACCGGTGCAGTGCTCTGCCAACTGAGCTAACAAGCCAACTCTGGGAGCTGGTCATCATGTTGGCTCGTAACAAACCAGTAAAGTAATGAATCAATGACTGTAAATATATGAAAATCAAATATGTAAACTGCGCTTCAAGAAATGAATTTGATAACACCATAATTTTCCGCCTCACTACAATTTTGAAAATGTTAAATTAATTTTTCCGTGTCTTTCTTTGGTGAACGTGAATACTAAACAATAACAACAAAGGCAAATGATAACAATAAATTATGAATAGCATGATTAAATTCTTCAAACAAGCACTTTTGACACAAGTGAGAACTTTACACTGAGCGGTAAATGAAGTGTGGTAATTTGCCACTACTTGCACTTCAGAGTTCTACATCGGCGATGTAAATACATAAAAATAACTTCAAACATTTTTTTCCTCTCTTCAATAAACCTGTGCGTCATCTGCTTACCGAAAAACCACCTCCTCGGGTCATGTTTTGCAAATTCTATGGAACTGTGATGGAACAATCCAGGTCTAATTAGAACTTGCTGCCGATGATGGTTAATCAATCTAATTTCACCGTATTTGTCCCTCCACATCCTCAGACCAGCTCATAAAACTTCCTCGGTTCGCTTATTCATCTGTTTTTTTCATTGCAAATTTTTATATTTGCCTTTCGCGTTCGAGATGACCATGAGCGTATCTTTGAACGACGTAAATATCACTTGCTAAACTCAATTTGAATATTCATATCCGCTCTCCGGCCAGCCGTGACGAGTTTCACTTTGTGACTCACGTCATAAACAAAACAAAATACTTGGCCTCGTTATTCAGTCGATTACTGTTTTCTATCTCATCGGCGTTTACTGGATATGTTGGTCAATATATAACTTGTAACGAAAGGTTTTCGTTTTTGTCACCGGATGTGAGCTCACGTTCAACAAAAACATCACTTGAGAACATACAAGTTACAATCGGCACGTCCGCATTAATTTTCAAGCTGCGGATGGAGTGCGGAACTTAGATATTTACTGCTGCAGTGTCAGAAATTTGTCTTACGAATGGAGTTCTCCATGCTATTTATTGCAAGCGTATTTCTCTTTATGATCTCAGGTAAGAACTTCTGGTTTGAGCCGTTAGGTTACAAAACCTGGTGATAAAGTGCTATTGTACAGTTTCGAAAGTTCTAGTGGAGCGTTCTCAACTCAATAGTATACCGCAATTTTCGTAAGGGAAAAAATGTATTTATTCTGTGTCTGCGTGCCATAAAGGCTTAATCATAGTGTTGGTTGGCGTCGGTTAGCTGGATCTTATCGAAGCGCTTGATCTCTTCATCAATTTCAAAAGTCATTATAAGAAGCTTGGCGCGACTTAAAAAATTAGAATCCTACAGTGCACTGACAATATATATGAACTGCATCCACGGCACTCAGTGAGGCGAGTCATATTTGCTTGTCCTTTATGGCCGTCGATTTGCATTAAAATAGAACTTCAACAACGAAATAACACCATAGGACGCCATAATATAAAAATATCTTTCCGCGGTGCGAACGTATCGAGTTTTATTTATACAGCAATCGTCGTGTTTATCCAACCCTTTAGGATTTTACACCTTGATGCATAAGAAAATATTCATAACGATTAGAATTTCTGCATAAGAAGCCTCGCTCATCTTTTAATAATATAAATAGAAATAATATTTCATACAGTTATTCTTCTGCTATCATCGACTCTTGCGAAATACAAAACTCTGGTGTCGGTACAAAAAAAGAGAAAAAGAAAAACTACAGCTTGAACAAATGCTTCCCCTTTACAGTTTTTCCTTGGCCATATGTTTAGTCGAGGTGAACGTATCTTTGCGATGTACGTGGCACATTTTATGGAGCAATTTGTAATGTGTTATCATCGGCTCTGAGTTAAAAAAAGTTGTATGAACGCTGCACGGTGGCCAACATGTTGAAATTAGTGTGTCACGCAACGATTTAGAATTGCCTGGGGATATTGATCATGACAATAATTACGCTGAACTAACTCCGAAGAGCCCGGTAGGGCCGATATCATTATTAAGCGTTATTTTCCATACTTTTGCCTGTAGTTTAGCCATAGGTAATATTTCGTTTTGCTTCTCAGACTCTTATAACCAATTCCTCTGGGAGAGGAACAATTGCTAAGAATGTGACATGAACAATCTATCAAGGGTGTTAAGGAAAGAGTAAACGATGGTTTTCTAGAGAACAACAAAATATGGAGCAGTAGTTGTTCTATGAAAGACACATTCCTTTTTCTTCCTCCCGTCTGTTTGGCTACATTTTTACGAAATTGGAAGAGTCTACTGGGAAAGTTATAAAGGCATAAAAAGCGAATAAACTGACCGACATTAGAAACCAAGAAAGGTTTTGTCGTCGATAAATCGGATTAGCTGCATATGGCGTGCGATATGTTTCTTAGAAAACTTAGATAAATAAAATTCGTTCGATAAAAACTCATGCAATATCACCAGTTAGCACCAAACAGCAGCTGAGTGCATTCCTACCCCCTCTCTCTGACCAAAATAGATCATTCAATTTCCAGTTATAACGTATACTGAATAACTACTTTAAAAGTGGAATGTCTCATGAATTGATTATTTTTTTTTAGATGCGCAAGTTTTTGTACTGACCCCAGTCAGTCCAATTCAAGCTCAAGATGGCGATAACATCACACTATATTGGGAATATCATTCTGGCTTTCACACACTGAGTCTTGCTCAGTGGGGGACTATGACCTCGGAAGGTACTTTGGAAACCATCATAGCTCAACAGCATGGGAATAAGCCAGTGGAGTATCTGTCATCGAATTACAAAGGCCGAGTGTATGTGACAAGCAAAGCCTCCCTTTCTTTCATTGACGTTAAAGTGGATGACACCGGGCGATATGGTTGTAAGTTGACGTTCGGAGACGCGACAATTTCAAATTCCACAATACTGGAAGTATCAGGTAGACGACTGTTTTTCTCATTAAGCTAAGTCTGTAGTCTGAGTACTCCGTAGTCCTTTTGATGCGAAGCCAGAGTTCTGATCGGAAGAGTTCATGCCGATAAGACATCGGGCTGGAGGAGGCAGATTAATTACTCAGGGTGTTGCATCATCCCCGTCCTCGCTTTCCCTCGTGGCACCGTTACAAAATACTTCAAGTAGTCTACATCTACATCTGTTGAGCCTAATAAGTGTGATTGGTATTGTATTTTCGTCTATACTCATATGCATGGTATCCACATGACTCGCTAATTTAGCGTGCAGTTACAGATTTTGGTGCACTGAGTAATTTCGCTCTTTTATAAATGACGTCGTTTTTTCTCTCAATTCATCTCCCTCTATGGAAAATAGCACTTTGCTCAAACTTGATTTATCATTCAGAACAAAGTTCTCCATTGAAGTTTTCTAACTTCCGACTTTACCAATTGTAGCTTATGCATGATTAACTGAAGGCTAAGAAACATTTAAAAGAAGGAAAAACTCACATATTTATATTATGCTTTTTTTTCCTTTAAGAGTGTTGTTCTCCTCATAGGTGCTACTGAGAGAAATTGTAACATGCATGTGTTCTTTCAACATCAACGTCATCTCATAGATATATCGGTCACAACTAATCCATGCTATTTCGGTCTGTTCATCTCTTAAGCGAGAACCATTACAGAGGTATCCCCCACAACTGATGGTACTGCTGATGACGACACTATTAATACGCATCCAGTATATCTGGCCTTTGTTGCCGTGGTCCTGATCCTAATTATACTAGTTGTTGTCTACTTTTTCCTCACGCGTAGAAAAAGAGGTGAGCTCGTACACCTTCCCTCGTAAAAACCATTAAAACCGTTTGGCTAAAGTAGGTC